AGAGAGAGAATCCCAAACAGGCTCTGCACTGTCAGCAGAGAGCCCAGCATGGGGCTCAAACTCACCAACTGTGAGATCCTACCTGAGCTGAAATCAAGAGTCAGATGCTTTACTGGCTGAGCTGCCCAGGAGCCCCTCTACTGTAATCTCATCAGAATATATAAGTCTGTGAATGTGAATAGAGACTTTTTATAGGTCACCTTGGTTCTGGGTTCTGGCTTACAGAGGACCTTCAGATTCTTTTCCTGTCATGCCATACGTCTACTGTGGTGCTTTCAGTAATTCTTGGAGGTTTTGTTTCCTAGTGGCCTGGAATTGAATGACTGAAGTATTAGGAAGGGCTGTGTCCAGTAGGACAAGGATGAAAGTCATGGTCACCATTGTGGAATCACCATTATTAGATATGTTCATTTGTTCTGTCATCAACAATGGTTTCTTTTTGTTTTATTATTGATAATCTAAAAAAATTACAGTAAGAACAAAATAGGAAGTAGTTTGCCATTAACTTGACTGTTTGATGTTAGTCTGGGTCCAGTAGGTTTGGTATAAATGTCTCTGTGTTTTAAAACTGAAAATGGAAAAAAAATCTGCTTGTTTATGACTTGGGTGGGCTTGGTTTGATTTCTAAATAGAATTAACTGACTTTGTGATTTACTGGTGGTTTCACCTGCACAGTGAGATAGCCTCCCCTATTTGATCTCGGTCTTGAAAACCTCACAAGTTATGTTTTAGAAGCTCAAAAAAAATACTTAGGTGTTGATATCAAGGGGTAGAACTGGTGTAGCAAAGTGATACCGGTCAGGTATGTTTTCAGTATTCTCTCACTGCTTCTTCCCACTACCAATTGCCTAACAAGCCTTTTCTCTGCTGCTCCAGGGAATAATTTCTCCTCTGAAACTTTTCTTTATCTTTTTTCCCAGTCACAACTGATATTGTTTATATTCTGGTTCCTCAGAGCTCTATTCTGGACTTTCTAAGATAGTAAATAAATAAAGCCTTTCTTAGATCTTAATGTGCTACCCAACGTACTTTCATTTCAGCAGGAGTCTTTGGTGGTAATACGTTTCTTCCTCCTTGGAATGATTCTTAATAGGTATTTTTGGCACTTTAATAGATTGCAGAGCCAGATATATTAGGAGAGCATAAAGACTAATTTGTGAGTCAGGTCAGAAAGATAGAAAATATTCTGTAGGAATATGGCAGGTGCAGGGAGGAGGAGTAGACAGTGATGAAAGATTAAAAGCTTTTTCATAGACAGTAGTTAGAAATTTTAGGCATGTTTTTCAGCTTCACTTTTCTAAATAGAATGGGTTAAAATGCTTTTTTATTGTTTTTTTATATGAAATTTATTGTCAGATTGGTTTCCGTACAACACCCAGTGCTCATCCCAACAGCTGCCCTCCTCAATGCCCATCACCCACTTTCCCCTCCCTCCCACCCCCTATCAACCCTCAGTTTATTCTCAGTTTTTAAGAGTCTCTTACGGTTTGGCTTCCTCCCTCTCTAACTTTTTTTTTCCCCTTCCCCTCCCCCATTCTAATACCATATGAAACATATATATGATATTATAGCAGCCTCAAATTTAAAGAAAATATTTATGTCTAAAACAGAGTTGTAAACTTTTTTTTAAAAATTTTTTTATATTTATTTATTATTGAGAGACAGACACAGAGTGTGAGCAGGGGAGGGTTAGAGAGAGGGAGGAGACACAGAATCCGAAGTAGGCTCCAAGCTCTGAGCTGTCAGCACAGATCCCAATGCGGGGCTCGAACTCACAAATTGCGAGATCATGACCTGAGCCGAAGTCGGTCGCCCAACCGACTGAACCACCCAGGCCCCCCTAAAGTTGTAAACTTTTTAAGTTCTTGTCATTGATGTACAGGCTTCTAAAAATACTGCATTCTTAATCTGTTTTTCAGTATGTAAATATGCTTGCCATAAGAAATGCTGTCTGAAAACCACAGCCAAGTGCTCTAAAAAGGTAAGAAATTATCACCTATGAGTAGTAAATAACAGATATATTGGTCTTTTCTACCTCATGAAAGCAAGCAAGTCCTCTTCAGTGGTTTTATAGAGCAGTGGTTTTCAAACTTTTTGATCACAACTCACACTTTATGTCATGATCCAGCATACGTATATATATAGGGATAGGTATATAATTGGATTGATTTTCCTGGAACTATATTTACCTTTACTATTTGGGAGAGCTATTAAACTGGTTTCACAACTGACAGTTTATTAAAACACTGCTTTTAAAGGTTTTCCACTTCATTAAATGCTCATAACTCTTACTAGAAATTGTCTTGAAAGTGGTAGGCTATAGCTAAAGATTTTAACATTATGTTTTTACATAATTCAGCTTGGATACACAGAGATCTAAAAGGTATTAAACATGTACTTTGACACTTTATTTTAAAGGAAGCAATGATTTTTGATAGATTTCAGGCTTTTTTTGCTATATAATCACATTTTTTTTACTTATTAGTCACATATGGACAGTTGTAACAATACTATACAAATCTGAACTGTAATATAAATGTGTGTGTGTATTGTTTACAACCCAGGTACAGTATTTGCATCTGTTCCAAATTAGTAGACAAATCATGGCAAGGTATACAAAGAGAAATTTTATTCAAGGCTTAAAATACAATGAAGGTGGGACATTTGCTTTGAGCTTAGGTGGAATAGCTTGTGACAGACTATTACCCATGCCAAGAATAACTGAAAAAAGTGTTGCTGCACATCAGAGAGCTAGCTGCCCAGGAAAGTTGGACTTTGTTGGAATGTCAATCCTAGAGAGAAGATAATTGCATAGTAGTGAATCTGTGTCTGTGAGATGTTTTTCTCCTAGTAGGAATTTGTCAATTTTTGCTGTAGAACACGAAACCACAATTTCAGGCAGAGTTTTTAAGAGTCAGAGAAGTCAGCACAACTTTTAGGAATCTCATAGGGCAATGGAGGCAAAAGTTGGAATTTGGGATTGCCAAGACCAGGAATTTGGGTTTGCCAGGATCATGATCCAGGTGTAACCCTTGAACTCAGAGGTTTTTCCCTCAAGACATTCTCTGAATTCTTAAGCTATATGGGGTAAAAGGCTAAAAAGCTAAACTGGAAAAAAGATCAGAGTTTTCTGCAATTTCACACTGTTAAGGAAAAAAAATTGGAGTTCTGTGATCCACCTTCAGAGAGGGGCCCTACTGAATGTCCTACACTGGCACTGAGACCTCTGAAGAGCTGTACTCCCTCTCAGAAAGGGAGTGAGTCATTAATAGTCTGGACGTTATAAAAGCTGAAGACGAGCTTTAAGGCATTCTTGATTAGATTAAGATGATCTGTTCCTTAATTTGGCTACCCATCAGAGAGAATAGGGTGAACCCTCTCCAAAGAGACATAACATCATCCAACGTTTATACTTTATCTATATATAATAACAGATATTAAGAAATGAGACAGAGAAAAAAACACATAGACAATGTCAGTAGACTCACAGATGACCCAGTTACTGAATTTTCAGACCTGGACTTTAAAACCTTTTTTTTCAAATATGTTGAAATATAGATAAAAAGAAAAATTTTTTTTAATTTTTTTAACATTTATTTATTATTATTGAGAGAGAGAGAGACAGAGCACAAGCACGGGAGAGGCAGAGAGAGGAGGAAACAGAATCTGAAGCAGGCTCCAGGCTCTGAGCTGTCAGCACAGAGCCGACGTGGGGCTCGAACTCACAAACCGCGAGATCATGACCTGTGCTGAAGTTGGCTGCTTAACTGACTAAGCCACCCAGGCACCCCGAAAATTTATTTTTTATCAATATCTGAAATATACATTTAAAAAAGAGGCAAATGGAGATTCTAAAAATAAAAAATGCAATTGGAATTATAAACTCAAAAGATGGGCTCAACAGCATATTGGTCATAGGAGAAGAGAAGATTGGTGAACTAAAAGATAGGTCAGTAGAAATCTATAAGTGCAGAGAGCAAAAAAGAAGGGGGAAATACAAAGATAAACACGAGAAACATCTAGGAAAAGATGAAAGGTTCTTTAAATGTGGGTAATTGGAGTCCAGGAAGAAAGGAAAGAGAATAAGGGAAAAGCAACATTTTAAGAGATAATGACCAAGACATCAAGTCACAGGTTCATGAACCATTTTTAACCTAAAGCGGGATAAATACAAAGGAAGCCACACCAGATGGACACTTCTCCAAATGAAAGGAAAAAAAAATTCCTTAAAAGCAGTCTGAAAGGAAAAAATAAAAGCACTGCTAAAGCAGCAGTGAAGAAAAACTGACAACTGGCTTCTCAACAGAAATGATGGAAGTCAAAAGACAGTGGCCTGGCATGTTTTGAGAGTTATAATAAAATGAAGCTAACTCAGAGTTTTGTACCTTGTGACAATAGCTTTCAAAAATGAAAATGGGGGCACCTTGTTGGCTCAGTCAGTTAAGCGTCTTGATTTTGGCTCAGGTCATGATCTCATGGTTCATGGATTGAGCCTCATGTTGGGCTCTTTGCTGACAGTGCAGAGCCTGCTTGGGATTCTCTCTTATCCTCTCTCTCCCTGCTCCCCAACTCGTGCACGAGCACTCTCTCTCTCTCAAAATAAAGAAATAAACATTGAAAAAAAAGTGAAAATGATGTGAAATTATTTCTAGACAAAGACTCAGAATATGTCACCAGCAGCCTTGCACTAAAAGAAATACTAAAGGAGGTACTCCAGGCAGAAGGAAAATGACATTGGATAGAAACAGAAACATAGGAAAGAATGAAGAAAAATGCAAAGAGTGAATAATATTTATAAATCTAAGTGAATATGACTAAAAATACAATAATGTCTTTTATAACACTTCAAATATATAGTTGACCCTTGAACAACAGGGGTTTGAACATCATGGGTCCACTTATTTGTGGATTTTTTTGATAAACACAGTTATGTAAATGTATTTTCCTTATGATTTTCTTTTTTTAAGTGTTTATTTAATTTGGATAGAGTGCACAAGCTGGGGAGGGGTAGAGAGAGAGGGAGTCAGAGAATCCCAAGCAGACTCCATGCTGTCAGCACAGAGCCCAATGCTGGGCTTGATCTCATGCATCATGAGATCATGACCTGAGCTGAAATCAAGAGTTAGATGCTTGGCCACCTGAGCCGCCAAGGCACCCCTTCCTTATGATTTTCTTGATAACATTTTATTTTCTCTAGCAGTGTACTTCATTGTAAGAACACAATGTATAATACATATATAACATATAAAAATGTGTTGATTGACTGTTTATGTTATCAGTAAGGTTTCCAGTCAGCAATAGGCTATTAGTAATTAAATTTTAGAGGACTCAAAAGTTACATGCAGGTTTTTGGCTACATAGGAAATTGGTGCCCTTAATTCCTACATTGTTTGAAGGCCAACTATATAGAATTAAACTGCCTGACAACAATAACAACACAAAAGTTACTTGGGTAAATGGAATTAAACTATACTAAGGTCCCTGGGTTATCTGGGAAGTGGTTAAATTGTTCAAAATACATTAGACTTAAATATGTTATGGATATTTGTTTTAGTCTTTAACCACTAACAGAAAAGCAAATGAATATATGTCTTAAAAGCTAATAAAGATGGGAGAATGGAAAAACGAAAAATATTTGATCTAAACGAAGACCAGAAATGAGAGGAACAAACATAAATTAGATCAGAAAAGAAAATACATAGCAGATTGGTAGGTATAAGTCCAAATATATTGGAGATTACATTAAATGTTAATAGGTAAGATACTTCCAGTTAGAAGACTAGGTTAAAACCAACTGAAAAATCAATGATATGCTGTTTACAAGCAACATTCTTAAATATAAAGATACAGAAAGGCTGAAAGCAAAAGGATAGATTTGTATGCAAAGACTAACAAATAGAAAGGTGGTGTACGTATACTAGTACTAAAGTGTATTTTAGGGCAAAAAACATTTCAGATGAAGATGTTTTGTAATGATAAAATGGTCATCCCATCAGGGAGATATAAAAATTCTAACCTTTTTTATTTTTTTAATATTTATTTTTGAGAGAAAGAGTGTGCACAAGTGGGGGAGGGGCAGAGAGAGACAGAGACAGAAACAGAGAATCTAAAGCAGGTTCCAGGCTCTGAGCTGTCAGCATAGAGCCTGATGCAGGGCTTGAACCCATGAACTGTGAGGTCATGACGTGAGCTGAAGTTGGACACTTAACTGACTCAGGCACCCCCAAAAATTCTAACATTAGGGGAGACTTGATATTATTGCTTTAATACCTAGAGACAAAAATTTAATAAGGGTGCAAATGATAGGAAAACAAGATGAAAAAACTTGACCTAGTTGATGTGTAATGAATCTTGCAGTCTTTTCAAGAGCACATGGGGCATTTGAGAAAAATTGATTATATGTTGGGTTATAAAGCAAGTCCCTACAAATTTCAAGAGGATTGAAACTGTTGAGAGTACATTTTTTGACCCAAGTGATATTAAGCTCTAAATCAACATAAAGATAACTAGATAGTCTTCAAGTACTTGGAAATTAAGCAATACTCTTATAAATTACAATAAAAATGAAAAAATATTTTGAACTAAATGATAAAGTATGACTAGGTACAAAAGTGTGGGTACAGCAAAAGTTGTGAGTAGAGGACTAATTATAGCTATTTTAAATGCATACAGTTAGGAAGGATGTAAAAAAAGAAATGATCTAAACTTCTATCTCTAGAAGATGGGGAAAAGTAACCTCAGCAAATTTAATCCAAAGGCAGTAGAAGGAAGATAATAAAGAGAAATAAATGAAATCAAATCTACAAAGCCAAATTTTAGCGCTTTGGAAATACTAAAACCATGGATAAACTCTTAACAAGAGGGATTAATAAAAAGAACTTCTAAAAAACAAATTGTCACAAAATAATTCATGTATCATTGCAGATACTGTATACATTAAAAAGGCCTTTAGTTAAAGGCTATTAATGGATACCTTGATGC